ACTTAAATAACGCAATAGTATTAATTGGATGCACCTATAGAGCACCTGGCACCTTTAGTAATTACGAGACCCAACTTATTAATACCCTAGAACAATTATCCACCCTCCACTACGATCATAAGATCCTATGTGGAGACTTTAACTTACCAGAAATCAACTGGGAAATACCCACAGGTCCAACTAAACTTGATAAGTTCTTAGGCACACTGGATATACTTGGCTGGAAGCAGACTGTCACAACCCCTACAAGAGGTAATAACGTACTAGACTTAATCTTCTGCCACAATATAAGTCCCCTTTCTACCCTAGTAGGTTCTCAGTTTTCAGGGAGTGACCACAAAACAGTGCTGTGTGCACTGCCACTTCCGTCAAGTAGCAATGCAACCCATACCCCCACTTCACAACAAATAACTTACAGAAACTACAGTAAGGCAGACTGGACTCTAGTAAAATCAATGCTAAGATCCTCAGAATGGAGTGAGTACTTCTATACTGATAGCCTCTCGAAAGCTCTAGACATCTTTTACTATAACTCCAACACATGCTTAGATGCTGTCATCCCATTTCAAACACTAAAGTTTTCCCCACATAGAAAGACATTCATAAAGCCAAAGGATCGTAGGAAACTGAAAAGACTGTCAACAAGTTACTTCAGGCGACACGACTTTAGTACACTAGGGTCAATACTTAGTACTCTTAGCTCCATCTCGCAAGCTCATAACTTGCGTATGAGAAATGAAGAATGCACGGCACTAGCCAGCACCACCAGAGTAGGTGCTCTCACAGAAATCCTAAAGAAACGAATGAATCGCCAAAGCCATAAAATTTCTCTCCTTATAAACAAGGGCAAACTATACAGCAAACATGCAGACATGTGTGAACTGTTTAATGAGACGTTTGCAGCTAACTACCTTAAGCCTACAAGTCCACTTCTCGGTTTACAATCTAAAATAGAACTCCCTTCATCTTCAACGCTGAAACAAATCACTACAGTTCATTTCACTTACTCTAATATTAACCAAGCCGTTAATACTCTTAAAAGCTCTAGTAGTGCCGGTTTTGACGGTATACCATCGTATCTTTATAAACACGGTGGTTCTGACATTTCCGTTTTATTACTTAAGATTTTTACAATGTCCCTAGAAAGCCAAACCTATCCAGATAAATGGAAAACGACATTTATAGTACCTAAACACAAATCCGGATCAAAAACTGAAGTCAACAACTGTAGGCCAATCAATATTACACCCATAGTATCTAGAATCATTGAACGAATAGTTAAAGATGATATCCTCAAACATATGCTCAGCTGCAATATTCTAAGTCCAAACCAACATGGATTCCTAAAATCCAGATCATACATGACATGTCACCTTGACTTCTTTAACTATATAACTAGCAGCCGAGACAAACAACAACTAGTACTAGTCATCTACTTTGAGATCTCCAAAGCCTTTGACCGCGTTGACCATTTGCTTCTAATAAATAAGCTGAACTCCTTAGAAATACGTAACTCATTATTAGGATGGATTGAATCATTCCTTAACAATAGGTCCCAGGTAGTTAGACTGGGGTCTGTAAACTCTAAACCTAGTCCAGTCACTTCTGGAATAGTTCAAGGTACCGTCTTAGGCCCCCTCCTATTCACTCTATATGTCAACGACATATGCAGCTGTTTCTCACTTGGCAAACCATTTATCTTCGCAGATGATCTTAAAGTAGCTTACACATTCCACTGTGATCACTTAGGGTACTTTCAGAAAGCTGTTCAGGAAGAACTAGATCGAGTAACTGCATGGTCCTCCACATGGAACCTAAAATTCAACCTTAAAAAATGTGGTTGGATCTGTTTCGGTGCACCCTCAATAAACATTAAACTGGTACTTGAATCTATTGACTTGCCTAAACTCCAAAGTGTTGTTGACCTAGGACTCAGGTACTCTAGTGACTTGACATTTTCTGAGCAAGTGGCGACACAGACGCGTAAATCGAGGATGCTCCTAGGATGCATACTCAGGAATTTCCACAACTACGAGGCGAAGCTATTATTATATAAAACTTGTGTCAGACCACTACTTGAATATTGTCCATTTATTCTCAGCAGCACTCGCGTAAGTGACAAACTTAAAATAGAAAGTGTCCAACGATACTTCACGTCTAAACTACTAGGATTTGACTGCGAAAAGGACTACACATCAAGGTGTATAACTCTAGGTATCGACCCGCTCTGGATGAGACGACTGAGCATTAACCTAACATTCTTCTTTAAAGTCTTGCATAAAATATCATTCTCAGACAGCAAGGAGATACAGTTCTCACCGGAAAGCTCTTACAACCTTCGTAACCAAACGTGCACAGTATCTAGGAAAAACTGTAAAACAGCACTCCGTGCAAACTTCTTCATAGTCATGTACTCTAAGATCTGGAACAGTTTACCCCTAGAAATAAGGACCTGTCACTCCATTATAACCTTCAAACGCTTGCTATATAAACTGCTTCATCCCAATAACTATGCCAATCACACCGCACCACTTATTTCCAAAACGCATGAGCTATTAGAACACTATAACGCCTAGACTCATTACTAAATATTACGACACTAAATTAACTCTAAGACTTCGCAAAATTACATGAAAAACAACTAGATTATGGGTAGTGTTTACTATACAATGACATACATTTATATATACATAAAATATTAATGTTTTCTTCATTTTTACATACTTTATCTCCCTGCTGAGCTTAATCTTCTATATACCTCCTGGTTGAGGTCGAACAACCCAACATCCAAACTGAAATGACCATTTATGTAAATTCAAACTCAAATTCCATGAACGATCCGATGCAACCACTTGAAAACGCTGGCTAACATTCTGTACAAGGAGTATTCTTGATCTGAAATAAAGAAGCAACTGGTTTTCAAACAGTTATCAATGTATTACTCAACTTACATGTACAGTCTGCCATGCTGACGCAAATGGCGCAAATGGATAGTTCTAGAATTGACCTCATTTGATGCAGTAAAACAATCTAACATTACCTTATCTAATTTTCGTATCAAAGATCAAATTTCTTTCCTATTATAAAACTACGATAAGACTGCTGACAAAAATGAAATAAATACATTATTGAATCAAAATAATACATCAATAAACTTTATCTCACGGATGCTGTTCACAACAAAGTCTTATAGGAGAATTGACTTCAAGCTTTATTTTTCCCAGATATTTGTATCACATTCATCTGAAGTCTGGGTTTTTTGTTAATGCGAAGACAATATTTCTATATCTCTTTATGTGTTACACAGACAGACTATTTTGCAGACTGTTCTGACTGACTCTAATGTTAGATTGAAAAACAAACTGTAATTTATATAATAACTTATCCATGCCTGTACAATTGGTATGTTCCTGCATAAACAGGAATAAATATATATATATAATTCTGCACCTTTCTTGTGGTTTTCTCGTGTCTTCTTCGCTTTTCAAAGGTACCGCCTTCAACAAAGGCATTGATACGGTGATGCTTCCCTCTACGTTAGTGTTAGTCAAATGAAGCGTCGGGATCACTAAAACCTACACTTTACAGTTATTCAGAATATTGCTAGCACACCTGGTGAGTAACGGAACCACCCTCGTCATGAAATCTGTTAACAGGTTCAAAGTTGATTTCATGCAAAATTACAAATTTCACAATTATGGTGTACTTACAGATGGCTTTGAAATTTTATAGACTTTCGAACAATTTATTCGCTGATAATCATTGTCCACTCTGCGTCTCTTATGTTTCACTTCAGCACCTGTAACAAAATGCTACTTACCTCCTACTACTAGCGCAGTCACTTATAATTCCCGCGTGAAATTGACATGCAGCAGGTCACTTTATTAACTGTGCATAATAAGGTTGTGAATCCAGTTTCTGGGGTGTCAGTCAGTCCAGAAACCGCGGAACTAACCAGGAAACCCTTAACGGGGGACCCGTACAAAAATATTCGCCATTTTAAAAGAACACAGCATCCACCAGACTATTATCCAAACAGCTGCCACGCCACTCGAAATGTAAGTTGGTCAAGTAGAGACAACCTAATGGATCTATTTCTTGGCAAAATACTGTCAACCTTATGGTGCTAAGTTGCATCAATAATAATAATAACACATGATTCCTTTCAGATTTTAAGAGAAATGTTAACGAAGTTGACGGGATGGAAATTCCTCATTAGCATTTTAAGATTGGTTTCAAGAACTGCGCGGTAGTGTAGTTAAGTTTAATTTCAATTACGGCTTGTAGATGTGCAGGGATTACGGAGACAGAAGGCTGCGTATTTGGTTGCTCGATATGATATAAAGCTATTAGGTCATGCACGCCTCGCTGAGATTGCTGGAAGTATATAGCTTACCTCGACAAGTTGTGGGCATAATGGGTATGTAACTGGCGTGGCTAGAGGCTCGAGGTCCGCTGCATAACCACAGGTGAGTAGTTGTCACTTGAGGTTAGTTGCAGGAACATTGGGATAGACTGTGGAAAACTGTCAGGCGTTCTGTAGTGGGCCCGAAGAAAGTGCTAGCTGGGTGACAATGGAGTCCTTTCAGTCTTGCGGATTTAGACTGGTTTGATGACATGCTGAACAGCATCAAACCGAATGGATCTCATAAGAAGGTAATACACTTAATGAGATCAATCCTTAGAATGACTGACTAGGCTTTTTCTCCTCTGCATCACAAATTAGGCCACAATGACGACCAAAATCCTAGTGCCATTGGTATTTAGCACTTATAATTGTGAGACAGTTTTCGAACTTAAAGGGAATAGGATTTTTCATATAATCTTCATTTTCCTGTTTCTTGACTTTTGTTGTAATAAGTGCATGGTCAAATAAATTGTAATAATATTTCAGTAGTTAACACAAAGTGATAAATTTTTCGGTAATATTTCTAGCAAAATTACTGTCCGTGGTCACACCAACTGTTGAAATTGTTTTGTTTTAACGGACAATAATTGTACATGGTCAGTGCGATATTTTGGCTCTGTTTTTACAACTTGTATTTTGTTTTCGAGGTCCTTCGGATTTATGCTATCACGTAAAGCACTGAGATCTTTTATCAATACCTATGAAACATGGCTCTGTGTCTCACAAGTTTGCACCAGAGAGAGCAAACGTACGCTGTCAACGTCACCAGGAAGATTTCAAAATGTCTCAATTCCTCAGAATACGGTGAAGGATAATTCTGCTTCAAGTAATTTCCTTTTCTATGTGTCATTTCAAGATGACCTGTCCAAATTTAGTTTTAGAGACTCAAAACTAGCTAACATAACCAAGTCAAACAGTGACCTTATTCGTGCACTCCTTGTTTTTAAGATATGTTCATACCCTATTTTAGTGAAGAATAACAAGAAAGTAATTTATGAACTCTGACACTATTCTTAGCTTATGGATATTTCTAGGAAGCTGCTAGGAAAATTTTTATTTCGAAGGATGATGATGATGTCATTCTATGGGCATTTTGTTGCAGGTGAAGATGAAGCTGGTATACAACCGCTAGTTATGCGTCTGAAGAAGTATGGTGTTGGATCTATACTTGATTACAGTGTAGAGAAAGATATACAAGAACAGGAGGCGGTTGATATTGTAAAGTTAGTTTGAACATAAATTTCGAGATTACTATTTCAAAGTCTTTAATTTTAAATTGGCATTCACATTCAAAATAAGGAACGTGTCTTTGTGTCAAATAAGCCAATTCTTGATGAAGCTTAACTCTAGTAGCCATACCTAAAGATCTTAGGACATAATTTATGTAACTAGTAAGGATCGAGCAGTAAAACTCGCGAAGTTATTGGAAAAGTGAATACGTATCATAGCGTTCTATGATCTGCTTATATGTCAGATTCTGTTCCTCCCGAAATACGAATCCTCCCAAAGGATAAGTTGTCCTGTCAAGTTTGATCCATAGAAGATTGCTATTCTAGTAACTCCAGCTGGTTCATTATTTATTCAGTAATCAAACAGGTGATCTTCCCGCAGTTTGTTAAACGAATTCAGAATAGAAGGCCTTATTTTGTTTGGTTGTTACATCTGGTCGTCAGTGGTCGTGTACCAGAGTGTCTGCTGTATTCGAACTTCACCCAATTCTTGCTTGTTTCACTCTTGATGTCCTCCTCTAGTTGTTTGTATAGAACGCGCCTTCAGAAGCAGTAACTTTATTCGATGTAGGACTTCAACACCTCATCTATTCTGAACTCTCCTCTTGTATCTCATCTGGTAGATCTAGAAGTCAGTGCAAAAGATTATATACTCGTACTACCAAGTACAGAAACTCATCCATACTATATTTGGCCCGTGTTCTTCACGATAGAGACAATGTTAAACGTGAAACCTACGAATTACTGCGTTGTTAGCAAAATAATCGGCCCTTTTATTATCTCCTATTTATAATCTGTGATGACACTATCTCAATTGACTGACAATCTTAGTTACTAACATTATTATTATTTACAATTTTGTTGTATATATATATATATGACTTCAATTTCACTGCAAATACCAAATAAGGACCGACATTAACAATCCTGTAATATAATTTTAGTAATTGTTTTGAATCTTATTCGATAAAATTAGATGCAATATGATTTTTTAAATTTTATTATGGCATGATTCCACACGGTATTTTGTTACAAGTATTGAATTTTCAGCATGTGACATCGGTAGCCCAAATTTAGCGTCAGCCGGGGACTGAACCCCATACCATGTGTGAGGTTGGTGAGCGTCCAAACACCTGTGCCACCGATGTACAAAATGTTGAAAATTCCATATTATGATTAAAACTGTTTTGTAACTAAGCAAATTACCATTATTCATCATATCATTCTCTCTATCAGGAAGCACGTCTCTGAATTACACTCAGGCGTACGGTTATCATACTTAGGAATCCAAGTATACATAGCTTTATTTGGATATAAGTATAAAACTTGGGCACTGTGGTAGAGTATAATTCCATAATGGATAAGATTTTATTTTGATAAATCACACAGTGTAGTACAGTTATATTAACTGATGACGTTTCGAGCACAAACTATTGCTCATAATCATATGATTATGATATGATTATGAGCAATAGTTTGTGCTCGAAACGTCATCAGTTAATATAACTGTACTACACTGTGTGATTTATCAAAATAAAATCTTATCCATTATGGAGCTTTATTTGGACTTTTTGTGGTGATTAGAGGAATGTTTTTTTTAATTCTTGAAGTTTAGTTCGTGTTACATTTGGGGTTGTACTAAAAATCTATGACTGCAGTGTCCTTAGTGATGGCAAATAAAAGGCTGGATGGCCAAGTTAAACTTTAAGCACCACTAACTACCAATGGAGTGCGACCGCACCGATGATCTCGAAACGTTCACTGAGGAAGTTAGTGAAACCTGGCAAATAATGCTTTCATCACCAGTACAATATGCTTGTCTAAGCGTTATGCTATTAAATGGGATATTTGGCAAGTTTCAGCTTAGGTTTGTGAAAGATTAAGTTACAGTTTGAGCCATGGACAAGTTAGGGTTAGCTTAAACTAATAAAGGTGACATTAGGGTTGGTTAGATTTAGATTACAGTTAGTTGTTAAAACTCCGTTGCCAATTTGTTATAACTGAAATGAACTGAATAAATCCGTCGCTACTTTGTTATTTCTGCGTCTGTTAATTACTATAACGGTAATCAACTTGACTGGCACGCTAATACGTCTATTTGTCCGTTGTACCTTCCGATTCACTGAGCCACGCAAATATCAGAAGACAAAGGCTGGCCTGTGACTGTAAGATTATTGCATTGTACTATACTTTATAGTTTAAGTAACAACACATGATATTTATAAATTTTCTCTACCATAATAAAGTTGGCTCACAACCGTGAGAATGGATTGATCTTATTTGCTGGAAATGCCTATTCTCATTGGTTGGTGATCCGACAAAGACCAAGGTGAGACAAAAGACGATGAATTGATCTCACACACTAAATCTGAATATACGTGAGAAACGATACATTCACATAGTAACTCCATCACAAGATAAATCACACGATTCTTGAGAGATCATATACTATTTTATGCGCTGGGTCCATTCATTAGTTTAGGGCTATTTTCACGTTAGGATTGGGTTCAGGAAAGATAAGGGTTATTGTCAGGGTCATAGTGTGACTTTATCAGAATAAATTTTACCCACAATGCAATTATACTATGTTGATACTCCAACCTAAAACTGAGAGCTACTTTTATCACATGGGAGAAGAAGGTAGCCTCTGTAACACTTTTCTACAGTTTTTATGCATTTTTTTCATAAATATATGTATTCCATGCACGAAAATGCCTCCTTCACTTGAGTGGTGCGTTCGAGGTCATTTTCTGATTGATGGTAGTTAGTGGTGCTTAAAGTTTAACTTTGCCCTTTGGTACACTTATGCAGCTCATTTGTCCCTCCAAATGTGTATAGTGTAAGTTAGATACTTTGTAATGCATAGTGCACAACAATTCGTAATTTACCCAAATAAGAAAGTTTGGTTACGGGATTTCATCATCAGCTGACATTGGTTAGAGAACCATTGGAAAACCTGGGAGTACTGGACAGCTGTTTCGTCCTAGTTTGGGACTCTTCACCAGTACGCACCCACCGGGGTCCGAACCCAGGACCTTCTGGTTACAAGGAGAGCTCGTAGACCATTAAGCCACTGGTACCCGATCCAATGGCCCATGAATTCTAACTTCTGCCAATTCACGATATAGCGCAACAGCTAGCCAATGTCTTCGGCTAGTATTTCTCCTTACACCTGACCTGCTGCACCCTACTGGTCACGACTTTGGTAGAATTTACTAATAAATTGATAATTGGGTGAAAGATCTTACATTTTCGCCAAGTTTCTCCCAAATTTTTACATTGACTCGCCATTAAACTACTCCTTCAATGTTTCATTTAAATACATTATGAAAGTTATTGGCAATCGCATTAGTTTTGATATTAAATCCCATCATGCTAATCATTTTTATTTCGAAGTTTGATCACGAATTGATTTCAGCCGGGGGAACCATTAAAATCCACCAGGGAGTACTGGACAGCTGTTTTCCTATAGTCTAAGGCTCTTCATCAGTAAGCATCCGTGATTTTACTAGGGATTGAACCTAGGGCCTTTAGATTATGAGGCGAACTCGTTGACCGTCCAGCCAATGAGTCGCGACCCAGTGGTTCATCAATTCGCGATATGTAACGTAAAACAACATTTGAAAACTAATCTAATACGCACTAGTGATTGACTAGAAGATGAAATAGCCTGTAGTTTTAGCAGGAAGTCTGGACCCGTCAGGCTTTTCAAGTTGGTTGTAAGGAAGAATATTCTCTGATGACATTGGGTGGAGGTTACACTTTAAAATACCAAAAATTGTTAAATTTAGAATTCATGGGCAGTTGGAATCCTTCCCATAGGTTGGACGGCCAACGAGCTTGCATCCTAACCTGAAGTCACTGGGCCATGGGTGCGTACTAATGAAGAGCCCCAAACTAGGACAAAGTAGTTGCCCAGAAGTTCTTCCGGATTTCCAATGGTTCCCTAAATGAAGTCAATTTATGATCTGAGGTGAAATCAATCAAATCCCTGCAGACGAACACTGGAAAGTTATTTTAACGTTAAATAATTTAATAAATGAATGTAATAATATTTGATGAAATAGCATTATAGGAGCTGGTATCTTATTAAAAGAACCTATGGTTAATTCATAAATCATTGGATGTGGAGTCATAAAGTATGCATTTTCTCATTAAATCCCTTTATGGTCAGAGTAAACGATAGATACCGCAGCCAAATGACCTTGAGTCAACCAATTAGATCACTTAACATTACAAATGAATGCTGTACATAATCTTTGTTGCAATTTCCATCGTGAATCAGGGTTAGGATAAAACTTGCCAAAAGGATTAGAGTTAAGGTTAGGATGAAAGCTGCAACGGAGATTATGAACAGCGTCCATTTGAAATGCTGAGAATTGTTACCATCATCCAATATCGTTTTTACGAGCTAGTATAAACCAACTTGATTTCTTTGTGCTCGCCTCTTGATTGTGAGGTATAGGTTCCTGATCTTCGATAAACTTCTGCGTAGCTCGTCCCGCCACTCAACTGTCGTAGCTTTGGTTGACTCCAAAAGGAGTAGTGCAGGGATTAATTGTATGTGGTTTGTAGAATGAGGTGTGTTAAGACTGTTACTACTGTGAATAGAGTTGATCCTTTCACTAGTTGGTCCTTCGCTATCGTGGTCAATATAAAAGAGAATAATAATAATAATAGATATAATTAGTGAAGGTATTCAGACTAACAGACAGAAAAAGAATAGGAAAACGTAACAACAGTCAGTCAACCGGTATATATATACATATATATATATATATATATATAGCTACATCTGCCGGTAAGGAATTCCAGGGACGGCAAACCCGCAGGGAAAAGAAGTGGGAGCGCACCCGGGTCCTTGCCCTCTGATGAGCTATCCTTCAAGGATTTCCACGAGGAAGCCTATACCTACTCAATGACAGAACACCTTTGTTTGGGTGATTCTGATCATTTGTTATTTTGTAGGCAGTAATTAAATCCCCCCTCAGGCGACGGTAACTAAGTGTGAATAGGCCTAATTTCTTCAGCCTTTCATCATATGGTTTGTTTCGGAGAGCAACCACTCCCGTCGTTGGACTCTTTCCAAGAGGTTGACGTCTCTTCTTCATCATCATCAAGTTATATTCATCATAAAGTCAATCGTTCTTCAGAATTAATGAATCGTATAACTGGTACTCATACAGATTATGTTGAAGGATTTTGGGCATATGTCTAAAACCACTCCTATGCAAAACTTGGACCTCTTTTCTCAGTATATCAGAGGCATATACACTACATAATTCATTTCTATTATATGTATATATGTATGTATATACATATATCCAGTAAACATACTTTTAAACTATAATGCCACCTTTTGCACCTGGAATCACCTGGCTGGGTGGTTCAAAGTCATTTGACTGTGATATTATTTAAATTTTGCTATTCCCTTGGGTTCCGAGTGGAACATAGGTCTTCAACAATACATCTCCTCTCAGTTCTATTTGATATTGTCCTCTTTAACTGGGTTCACGATTCCCCATAATCTCTCATCTTCCTCGACACACGGTCCCCTCCATGTCACCCTCACACCGATGACCCACTCATCCCTTCCCATTGGGATTCCATTCGAGTGATACCCTGCATTGTGCGCTATGTTATTCGACGGCCTCCTCAACATATGCCCGATCCATCTAATCTACATTAGCTATATGACCCAAAACAGTTTTGGGTCATATAGCGATAGATGAGGTTGAACATCTATTTACAGAACTAATTTAATCAGGTGATTCTATTTGTTCTTGTAGCCATTTAAGGGATGTGGTCTGTAACCCTGACCTGCAGAGCTCAATGGGTCATCCCTACGTATGTGTGAAGACACATACTTGTAAATTGGTAAATACGGTCGGATATGACACTGTCGTTCAGATACTGTGACGATTCACTGGACAATAAAAATTTCTTTTTCTCTATAAAAATGAGTTTAGCTGCGTAGTAAGTTCTGCTGAGTGCTGCTCACAGTCTTTGTCTAGTAATCAGACTTTTGTGACCACCCTTGAACGGTGCCGACTGGATTGGCAGAGCCCTTTGTTCTACACTTCTGTAGCATTTAATGAATTTCGGAGGGTGATAACAGTATTTTAGTGGGGTTTTGCATTTCTTCGTCAATGGTATCCCATGTACATATCTAGAGATGTTGTATGTGTCTGAACAAGCACTTCAATGGAGTGGACAGGCAGCATGATAATTTAGATACTTTTCTGTTCAGATGGGCTTCCTCTAAACTCAGATCGGTTTACTGACGCATCCTATCGGTTAGTTATCAGTACATGTAAAACTGGGGGAACAGTTGTTATTATCTCATAGGTATGATTTCGAATGCTTGAAGTGGAAATTATGATTACTTCTCCAGTTTTGATACAAAAGATATCCTAAAGTGTCTAAAATCCTTGAGACTTAACATAAGCAGTCCCTTGGACCAGATGGTGTAACAACTAGTATCCTCAAGAAATGTGCTGACTGGTATTTTCAATGAATCATTTTCCACTAACATTGTGCCTACTTTTTAGAAGGACATTAGAATAGTTCCTGTGCCTAAACCATCAAATAAATCAAGTTTCAAGTTTAAACTACTGTTGTTACATCACATTTTTAAAAAAAATAATGGAGAATCTGATTTTACGTAACCTTGAACCTTCATTAGAAACTTTTAACGACCATAAACTATTTGCTTATAAACATAGTAGGTGTACTTTAGGTGCCACTGTTGCCTTGTATCCTATTGTTGTCTTTAATTTAGACAGAGGGGGAAAATATGTTCGGTGTGCCCTCCTAGATTACACATCTGCCTTTGACTCCTTACCTAGGCTTCTTTTGTTAAATAAGCTTGCTGTGACACAAGCACCGCGCTGGACTGATAGGTGGTTGAGTTCTAACTTTTTCGTTAGGAGGCAGTACACTGTTTACAATGTGAAGTCTCCCAACCGCTTCACTTAATCTAACTGGTGTTCCTAACTCAAGGTGCTGTACTTTATCCTCCTTTGTTTTCTTTCTTCTTACATGAGTTGTCCCGTTCTGGTGAAGCCAATTTTGTTAAGTATGTCGATGATCGGGCTGTTACTATGTCGGCAGTTACTTCTCAGTCAGATTGTTCCCATATAAATAAGCTTTTATCAGAAATTAGTCCTTTTCGAATGGTCTTAAGCTAAATTCCTCCAAATATCAGGTGGTTAATTTCACTTTCAGACATAGGCGCGACTTACATGACCTGGTCAGGTCGTATGGTCCCACTGTCTTCGATGGTAGAGAGGCTGAAACTGAATCAAATGTTAAATACTCCGGACTGTGCACTTCACCTGATCTTTCTTTGTCTTCACACATCATATTATTGACTGAGATGTTTCGTTTAACGTTCTACGTGGAAAGCTCTCTGCTTTCTAAGTCTGTTAGTTCGTGTGTTCTGCTTATCTTTCTTCACTGCACTCCACAACCTAATGTTTCCTCAGCTACTTAAGAAAAATTTTATTATACTGAGAAGGGCAGTAAAAGCCACCAGTAGGGAGAGTGGGGTTGTGGTTAGTCCAACACATTAATACTATTGTAGGTAGACACATGGAATCATGCAAGAAATTAGCAAATATCACACTCTGAGCATCCTCTCTACACACAACTCACTGCTCCTTGCTGCATCTCATCAGGTAAGGGGACTAAAAGCAACTATCTATGACAATTTGCTCAGACGACTAAGTATAAAAAATCTACAAATTCCATACTTGTACTAAGTGTTTACAATAAAGCAATTATTATTTTCACTACCGATATCCTATTTCATAGCGTATTTATTCAGTTAAAAACTTCGGAGAGGAATCTGTTGATTTGTCACAAATAACTGTATATATCAAGGTTAGCAAAGGAAATCATTTCACGGATCATTATTTCTTTTTCGTCAGGATCAAATCTAACTTTTCTTTCTGATTATATGTAACTAATAGATTTTGTATGAACTGTCTGTCTGTCTGTTTTCAACACAGTACTTTGCACCGATGTGCAGCAGTTCAAGTCACCACACTCCATGTAGCACACAAAGCAAGAGATGAAATTCGAAGAAATGCAAAACGGAGACAGTAAACAGGGATATGAGACAAAAGAAATAGTAATATGGAAGAGCAATATAATTTCATTGGAAAGTATGAGTCACAAGGAGTGGATGCATCTGCACCAGCCATTGAGAACGATCACCTTGAGCCATATCACCAATTGTCTCCGTCCCGAGGACCCCAACCAATCAGGAAGTCTACACCACCTTCCTACGTGACTAGCTTAAGCTAACTTTTGTGGATTTCATTGACTGGTGCTATGTTTTGGTTTGACCGCCGCTAGCTCTTTTCCAACCTGAGCCTATGTCAGCTAATATTGCCCACTGTCAAGGAACGCGATGACTAGCGTAGGCATACGTAAAACATGTCCTAACCACCTCAGTCGATGTAATTTCACAGCCTCGTCGATTGATTTCCCCTCCCACTTGCCTAGCACTCGACGCCTAACCTCAATATTGCTCACCTTATTATACCACTTCACACGGGAGATAGAACGCAGGCACCGATGATCAAAGACAGTTAGCCAGCCATTTCATGTCTTCCACTGTCAATGGCCAGGTCTCACAGCCAGCCATGAAGGAGGACAGAGTGGACTGCTGAGCAGTACATCCGCTCTTTGGTCGACAGCCAGCCAGCCGGATATCACATCTACGCCAGAGACGGCGTATGAACTACAACCTACATTCATCATTATAATCAATGTATATGATATTTTGTTGTTTTCTTGTTAGCCTTTATTATTCTCTTAATTCTATGATAAAAAAGTCCTATTTTATTCTATTCTATTCTATTTACAGAAAGAGTTTAACTGAAGCGATAGAAAGTCCAGCGAAACGATCAGAAGTTTCACCGAAACAATATCAAATTAGTGTACGTTTTGCTGATCGTACAAAACAGCTGGTTGCTGCAAGATCCTACTTCTATAAATCTGAACACCAGTGTAATGAAAATATGGAGACATTTTTAAATTGTATTGATGTTTCATCAAAACTAAGTGATTATGCTATTACTGCAATCAAATTGACTGCACTTGGCCGACCACAACTACTGGTAAAACCAAATTAACTAATCTTTTTTCCTTTTGTTTTTTAACTATAGCAACAAATGTCTGATTTTCTAGTACAAATGAAACGACTGTTTTTCCTGTTGACTGATTCACACAACAAAGAATTAGGCGGAATGAAATTTTTAGATTTAGAAAATTTTCAAAAAAAGTTGGAAGAGTTAGGCGTGAAAATTTCATATAATGAAAATGTCAAGTGTTTCACCCTGCTGGATATTTCTGGAGATGGGTATGTTGTGTTGTATAAGTTATAATTATAATTAGATTTCTAAATTGATAAACATTATTATTATTATTGTTCCCTTGGGTTCCTAGTGGAACATAGGGCTTCAACTACACGTCGCCACTTGCTTCTGTCTTCTGCTGTACTTTTCACCTGCGTGTCCATGTTAATCCATACTGTTTCAACTCTTCTTCACACGATCTCCTCCATGTCACCATTCGCCGCTCCCCTTTCGGGTTCCGCTCGAGCGTTGGTCTGACGCACGATGTCACCCAGCGGCCTCCTCAGCGAGTATCGAGTCCATCTCCACTTCCTCTTGCATATTTGTTGGGCGATTGGTTCTTGTTTTGTTTGTTCCCATAGTTTCTTGTTGGTTCTTGTTCTTTCCGGCCATCTGATCTTGAGTATAGAGCGAAGACAGTTGTTGATAAAGGTGTGCAACAGGCTGTTGGAAATATTCTTTGTGACCCACTAGTTTTCTAGCCGGTCCCAATCCCGGATAAAGAGGGAAGGTTGGGGCGTGGTGCTAGCAACTCCACACCCTCGAGACGTAACCAATTTGCTACAGAAACTTCAACGCATTAATATATTAAAAATACTAAGAAATTGATAAATAAATAAATAATTTTTCTGAAATAATAGAAATAATCCAATTACACACAAAAGAAACTGTGTGCAGACATTGTTTGAAAGAGAGTTCAAACACACACTGTAGCACTCCAGAGTTGAAAAGAATGGAAGAAAAATACCTACCAACCAACAGTCTTCAAAAAGAATGGTTATCCACATACAATTTCATCAAAAAGTGTTTGAAATCGAATCAAAACACCAACAAGGAACCATCATCAAAGAAACCACAAGAAAATTCATCCTACCATACATGAGAAATATCTCTGAAATAACAGCTAGAATACTGAAACCGTTTGACATAGATTATTGCACACAAGCCAGTCAAATCGCTTAATTCTATAGTATGCAAACCGAAAGATCCAACAGAAAAAGGAGATAAAATTAATACCATTTACAAAATAACTTGCGTGTATGAACAAGCGTGTAACAAGCATTATATCGGCCAAAGTGGGAGTCCCCTTCGAATTAGAATCCAAGAACACAAATCAGCCGTGAAAAGACACGATATGTATTCTTTAGTATCACTGCATATAGACAATTATGGACACCAATTTGATGATTGGGATAATGTCGAAATCTTAGACAGAGAAAACACCAAAAGTGCAGTCAGGGAATTCCTAGAAGCCTCGTACTCAAACGAAAATGCAATTAACAAACACGTTAATTGCATAGACGAAATATACCAACTAATAAAAAGTAAATCAGGTGACGAGAAAATTTAAAATCCAAGTCAATATATAATGGTCAATACATATGTAAAGATGGTTACCGGGAGACGCAATTATATTACTCATGAATAAATTTAAATCATTTCACTTTATGCTAAATATTGCGCTGAAGATGTTGTCCAGCAGGTGGGGACGACGAAAGCTCCGCAACTAAACCAACCAGCTCCTCAGAGAACACTATTAATTGCAAATAACTTTTCTCCTTTTTTGCAGGGTTGTAGACTTACTTGATTGGACTCATTTGAAATCGTTAGAATATGATCTTGCTAGATTATTTAGTGTGAAAAATAAGAAGGTGAGATAATGTTTTTTGATATGATTACTACTATTATTATTATTATTGTTGTTTGCCTTCTTTGGGTCTCGAACAATAGGGCTTCAGCAGCATCACGCTTCCATTTTGTCTTGTTTTCTACACGATTGCCTGTCCATAAGCTTTCATCTCCTCTGTATGTCACCCTCAGACACCCAACTCGTCGTTTTCCACTCGAGGGCCTAATAAGCAATGTCACCCGACGGACTCCTCAACGTGTGTATGACCTATCTCCAGTGGTAAACTAACTATGTGCTTCATTGTTACATTGATGATTAATCGTGTCGATTCACTGGGGAAGTGAGACGACAGGCAGGCATACGTTGGACCGACGGAAAAACATTGAAAAATCTGGACTTTGTAGATAATTTTTGTCACAAAAACTCCGAAACTCTATAAGCGATAAGCAACAAGTTGACGGGAGAGGCACTGTAGACAGGAATTCGAAGGATAAAATAGAGGTGATGAAAATATCCTCTAACCAACAATGACAAAAAGCATCAACAGCCATCAGCGAGAGGAATCTGAAGGAAGTCACTGAAAAGTCAGTGTGGAAATCTGTTGTGCTTGCCATGAGGAAGAAGACACGGTACTTCAGTACCCGTGTCAAGTGAGTGATCACATATATGGTTCAGAGACCTGGCACGACATACAAATCATTTCGAACAGGGTAAGCCAGTCGACTTCTGTCTTAACTCCATACTGACGATCAGATGGCCGACCAGGAACGATAAGCAACAAGGAACTCCGGGAACGAACCAACGTAGAAGTAACTACTGGCCCCCATGAATATGTTGGAGAAAATGAAAATGAATCGAACACACCCTGAGGAGACGGATGAATGACACCACACACTAAGCCCGAGTGGAAAGCGAAGAACTCGATGTTCGAGTGTGACACATGGAGATTGTGTGAATAGGCGATGATAGCTTACGAGTAATCATGGAACCAGATAAAAAAAGGGCCGGCAGAGAATACAGTGAAATGAGGATGCGCTGACGAAGCTGTCTATGTTCCGTTTGGTGTGGAACCCAAGAGAATATTAATAAATTATAATACACATGTCATTTCATGTTGTAATTGAGTCTCACACATTTCTAGTGATCCATTTTTTTATTATTGACAACTGTTTTTATGCACCTCTGTTTCATTATTTTTGGTGCATTGTAGACCGGTGAAATGGAACAACTTGTACCCACGCTTACAGGTGAAGGTATCGAAGAAATGCGGAATATGATTAAACGTCTTGATACACTAGCAAGTGTAAGTTTTTTTCTTTCTCTAATCCTTAAAATTTTGAACCCAACGGGATAAAACATGTATGACTGATTGATTGAATGTCAACATAGAACTTCTCACCGAATTCCAGTACTTCAGGTCACCATACACTCTATGTAGTCCCCAAAGGTTGAAAAAAACAAAGATGGAAATCTGGAAGAACTTCAATGAACAGAAATGCATAGGATAAAGGATGGTAACATGGAAAAATATCAAGGTTTAATGGATACTACAAGAGATTAAAAAGAGTGGATGTATCTGCGCCATTGATAAAGATTTTGAGCCATATCAGCCTGCTGAGAACCCCAATCAGCTAGTCGATACCTCCCTACGCGACTCAAACCAAACAGTCAGGAACGGATGACAGGTTTTGGTTTGACTACCCGTATTTCTTTTTCAACCCATTTCTATAAATATTAACACTGCTCGAGTAGGAGGCGGTAATTTGACGCGCATAACAAGTGTCCTACTTATCTCAATCGACTTAGCTTCACAACCTTATTGATTCAATTCTCTTCTTCTATACTTAGCCCTGTATACCTAACCTCAATATTACTGACTATATTACACCACATAACATGGGAGATTGAACGTAAACGTTTGTGCGGAGAGACAGCTATCCGTTTCCATTAGTTCTACTTTCAATGACCATATCTCACAGCGTATGTAGAAGGATTGAGCGAGCTGCTGCGCCCTACACACATCCTTTGATGGTCAATAACCGGATATCACCTTGATATGATTAAGAGCAATAGTTTGTGCTCGAAACGTCATCAGTTAATATAACTGTACAACACTGTGGGATTTATCAAAATAAAATCTTAACCATTATAGAGTTATACTCTACTACAGTTCCCAAGTTTTATACTTATATCAACCGGATATCATGTCCACGTCAGAGGTGACGTGAGTTGATAAATCCCACATGAAACTATTGTACTGCGATATGCAAGACCGACCGACACTTCAAGGTAGCAGCTATCGATTGGGGTATTCTAATTAATTTAACCTACGATTGATAAGCCTTTTACTAAGTGCTAACATGTGCAGTTTTGACGAATGCTGTAATGATTAATTTTATGAATTTCACTTTCATCTTTGACTAGAAGTTCCCCAATAATTTGCACAGTCTACCTCAATACCTTGTCCAGTTTCGCATATGCCAGTTTACGCCGTCTCTGGTGTAGACGCGATATCCGACTATCGACCAAAGGGCGTGTGTACTGCTCAACAGTCCACTCCGTCCTCCTTTATGGCTGTGAGACCTGGCCGTTAAGAGTGGAAGACATGAAAATATTAGCTGTCTTCGATCATAGGTGTCTGCTTTCTATCTCCCGCGTGAAATGGTATAATAAGGTGAGCAATATTGAGGTTAGGCTTCGGTCGAGTGCTAGGTAAGGCGGGGAAATCAGTCGATGAGACTGTGAAATTACTTCGACTGAGATGGTTAGGACATGTGCTACGTATGCCTAGTCATCGCCTTCCTCGACGGGCAATGTTAGTTGATATAGGGCCAGGCTGGAAAAGAGCTAGCGGCGGTCAAACCAAAACATGGCACCAGTCAATAAAATCCACAACAGTTAGTTTAAGACAGCCACGTAGGAAGGTGTAGACTGCTTGACTGATTGGTTGGGGACCTCGGGACGGTAAAAACCAATGGTTGGAAACAATTGGTAACATGGCTCAAAATCGTTCTCAATGGCTGGCGCAGATGCATTCACTCCTTGTGACTTATGATTTCCAATGAAACTATATTGTTCTTCGTTATTACTATTCCTGTCTGTCTATATTATGCATTTCTCCTACTTTCTTCTCTTTCTTTGTGTGCTACATGCAGTGGAGTGTGGTGACTTGAACTGCCGCACTATGTCGAAAGCCGACCGACCGACCAATACCTTGTCCAATAGTAATTTGATTTTATAGAAGTTAATGTACTTAAGGCAATGTTGTAATTTAATCCGCATTCGCCGTTATAAAGTAAAACTCTGACAAACCTCATCCTTCTATTTCCGCTTGTGATTGATGTTATTAAGTTGAATAAAGCAAAAACAACAGTGGTTTTTGAAGAATAAGAAGATGGTACCATCATTGTTTTTTTTCGTTGGCTCCTCTTCAGTTGCTGCTTACAGGCCAAAGTCATTATTAAGAATGTCTACAGAGACAATTTTTACATACTGGCACAGCGAGTTCGTGTTGAAACAAAAAATCAACCCATCGGTTTATGCATACAATAATAATAATAAACGCTTTATCCCGAACAATAATGATTATACACAATGGGGACTTCCGGCATTACGTAATCACATGAAAGAGAGGTGAAAATATCCGGTTAACAAGGCAAGGAAAGACTGGTAACTAACTACTTCTCTCTGAAAGCAGAAACCGAGTTTCAGACACTTGATGGAGATTACTGCTTCGGCAAACTTTAGGAGAATTGAACTCTTTTGTCTATTGATAATTTTGAACGATCTTGCGACATCCACCTTATAACTGGTGGTGTCAAGGAGATGCCTAGCAATGACACGGTTGAGAAGCATTTGTTGCCAGCTGGAGATATAGGCTTTTTGGTACATGTTCAGAAGATCGCAGGTATACCCTTCTTTCTGTTCTTCCAATGTAACTGCTCCTGCAGATACATGTAAATTTGTATGTACAGTTGGAGTTAACATGAGAAGGATATCTGTCGACTTTTAATTGCCCCAAAAAGCAAGTTGTTTAGTAAGGCAGTGAGTGATTCAATTACTTAGACTCTATATCTCTTTTAACAACAGCGAGTGATGACGAATAAAGCCTTTAAGAGATGAAGGATGTCGCTGATGGTTAAACAAAATAAGCTGTATACACAAACGCAAGTGTTCTACTAATTATTATTATTATTGTATCCTTTAATTCCTAGAGGAACATAGGGCTTCAGCCGTGCGTCTTCATTGCATTCGGTTCTCTGCTAGAGTCTTCACCTGGCTCCAAGTCTGCCCACACGTTTTCATCTCCTCTTCACATGACCTCCTCCAAGTCACCCTTGCACTGACGACCAACTCGCCGCTTCCCATTCGGCCGGGTTGCACTCGAGGGCTTGTCTACTGATGTCACTTGATAGTTTCCTCAGAGTATGGCCAGCCAATCCATCTCCATTTCTTCCTGCCTATTTCTTTCACAATCGGTTCCTGCTATGTTGGTTCGCTCATTGCCAGAGATCTCTGTTGCTGATCTATTCTGGCCAGCCGTCTGATCTTGAGTATTGAGCGAAGACAACTGTTAATGAAGGTCTGTAGTTTGTTTGAGATGCTCTTTATGACGAGCCAAGTGTTCTACTAAGGTCAGAGAAAAATCAAAACAACCAACTGATCGTCATCTCATATACGAGATGTATTCCTGAATCAGAAATGTATAGCGGTGATGACTGTTTAACTAGTTAGTTAGGCTGTGTTCACAAACAATAATCAAACGTAACACGACAAAAGTTTCAGATAGCGTGGTGGATGCGCTTGACTGTATGTAGCTTCTTCAGTTTGACCAGTCGACTGAATCATCGAACATCGACACCCCAGTGTTAAATGATGAGAGAGAGAGACAAAGGGAGCTGTAGGCTAATAACTCTGGGGAATTACTTATCGCTACATGCCTTTTTATGCCTATTCCGTCTATCTGTCTGTCCGTCTCTCATCGCTGTAATTCTAAACCAAAGTGGTTATTGTCTGAATATTTTTAAATACGTAAATTTTCTCATGGTCTTGTTATTTTATTTCCGCATATGAAGTATTCCAAAGGGAGCAATACTAATTCATGCATGGTTGTTCTATATTTAGTAATGCTTTCTTAAAAAGTTTTTTTTGTGATATCCTCCTTTGTTTTGGGTATATCAGTCAGTTGTCAGTCTTCATAAATCACTGCATCTCTTCCCTTAATCGATTAGAAGAGAGAATTATTGATCAATCATTTCAGACCTATTGATTTTTAGGATGAATATCATGAATAGATGAAATCATCAAGTATGCTGGAAGCCTAAGTCAGCCAAACCTAGGCCACTTTTGTGAAACAAACTTGCTGCGACATAAGCAGGGTGTTAAACTAATAAGTGGTTGCATTCCTAATCTTCTGATAGGAGGCGACAGCACACTGTTTACAATGGGAAGTCCCCCACTGCCTCCTTCACTTAATTTAACTGGTGTTCCTAACTCGAGGTGCTGTTCTTTCTCCTTTTCTGTTTTCTTTCTTCTTACATGACTTGTCTCGTTCTGATGAAGCTAATTTTGTTAAGTATGCCGATAATCGGACTGTTACTATGCCGACAGTTACTTCTCAGTTAGATTGTTCCAAAATAAATACGTTTTTATCAGAAATTAGTCAGCGGTCCTTTTCGAATGGTCTTGAGCTGAATCCATCCAGATGTCAGGTGGTCAATTTCACTTTCAGACATGGGTGTGACCTATATGACCTGGTTAGCTCGTATGGTTCCACTGTCTTCGATGGTAGAGAGGCTGAAACTGAATCATATGTTAAATATCGGGGAGTGTGCACTTCCTCCGATCTATCCTGGTCTTCACACATCATATAAGCGACTGGGAAGATATTTTGTTTAACGCCTTACGTAAGGAAGTTACGACAATCTGCTACTAGTCTTAGTCTCTACTGTTACAGTTAATTCTTCCATTCTGCCTATACTTCTTTACTGCTTCCCCATAATCTAATGTTTCCTGAGCTAGTTAAGAAAGATTTTGTTATACTGCGAATGGCACTAAAAGCTACCAGTGGGGTGATTGGGGGTGTGGCTAAACCAAAACCGTTAATATTATTGTAGGTAGACACGTGGACTCATGCCAGAAATTATCAAACATCAATTTGTCAAATTCTGAACATCCTCTCCATACACAACTCACTCCCTTGCTGCATCTCATCAAGTAGGGGAACTAGAAGTGACTGTAGGAGATTATTTAATAATAATAATAATCTACTTTATTCCAAAAACAGTATTTATAATACAGAAT